AAACCTGGGTAACTAGATTTCAAAAGCCCGTCCCTTTCTGAGCTTCATTATCATTGAGAACTACTCTTTTAACCTGTTCATTATTAAATAAGACTGAACCTCCTGCTGTTCTGGTCTTCCACAAGATACACCTGGAAAATGGATCCATTGCTGTATACTGTTAGGCTTTGTTTCAACTTTGACAGTTTTCAATATCTATTCATATAATTTTGTATAGAGGGACTTGTGAGTGCAGAATATGTAAAACACTTCCCCCTTCCACAGGGGAAGAGAAAATAAGATACAGAAAACCTCAAAAATATTATGTAGCAGATTGATGCTCTGGAATATAGCAGAAAAGAAAAACGTTAAGAGAGGTCTTGTAGGAAGATGAGGACATGGAAGAAGAGGTTTTGTTGTGGGAAGATGAGGAAGCTGTGATGACCTCATGCTGTTGATGGGTGAAGGTCAGGTATTTAAGCTGATTATATCTATTGTCTGCCCTTGATACTATTGATCATGGAGCTGTTTACTATCTGCCAATCCTTGAAAAGGCAAGGGGAGCGATTCATTCAGAATGGTGTTTTTTTTCCCTTTTTTCTTTTTCCTCTTCCCTCTTTCTCTCCTCTCCGTTCCACTCTTTCTCCCTCCATCCCTCCCCCCTTAGGAACTAAAAAAATTGTTCGAGTAGTTACACATTTTGTTATGGCTTCTTTTTGTCATCACAGTTCCAGATACTACTTGGGTATTTAGAGACAATATCGTAAACGTGAATGAATTGTAAATCGTTTAAAGTGAAGAAAAATAGGGGTATAAACAGCTATTCTTTTGCTGTCCATACAACAGGTATTTTTAGTTCCATCTCATTCATCCTGACTGCTGAACTTTGAATGATTCTTCTACTGTATCTAATACAGTAATGGCATATAGATGAGAGTCAAATGCCTAGCTGTTATCCAAACCATATATGACTAATGAAAAATAGAGAATAAGAATTATTCTTCTCTTGAAGAATATTTCTTCAGAAAATAACCTTAAAAATTAAAAGTTTGTGCATCGGTGATAGCCTGATGTGCTTTCTTCTTGCTTACGAAGTACAGATGTGGAATCAGATTAGCTTCTCAGTGTTCTATTCTGCCTGTATTTGGCAAGGAGACTCTCTTATATCCAGTGTGTAATCTTTTAAATATGTATGCTCTTACAGTTATCAATACTTTTGCATTTCTGTATAGCGGTACACCTACAAATAATTCTGTTCTTACTGGAATTAACTATAATATAGTGCCTATAAAACTTCCACAGAACTTTCTGCTGGAAATGTAATATCCTTGCTTCTTCATTTGCACCTCCAGCACAACTCATGATTCTGGATTAATTCATTAAATATCTAAATAGTTTTGGGTTGGGGGTAGAGGCCAGAATTTTCTTCCCTTAAGTGATAACTTTATCTATCTGAGATGACTCAGGTCACTCAAGCTAGCAGTTTAATGGAAGCGGACAGAGATAGGGAGCAGTCCTTGACTGAAGTCTGTAAGTTATGTGATGGCTACTTACCGTATAATATTGTTATTAGGAAAAAACTGAGGCAAGAACAAATATGAAAAAATATTATCAAAAGGACCAGCTTGACTTTTTTTTATCCATAAGAGAAAAGAATGCTATTGCTATAACAAGTTTAACTGCTAATTGTCATATTGCAGAGCTTTTTGTTAATTTTTGAGTGACTGGAATATATATTTATTATATGAATATGCAACATACTAATAATCCTATTTTTTTCAGGTTAATTATTGGCCCATGACTGAAAAAAAGGAGATTATATTATTATCAGCCCATTATAAAATAATTATTCCAACAGCTTTATGTATTTAATATAGATGGAATTCCTTTCATATTCAAGTCAGCAGGAGCTTTAATATTGATTCCAATGCAGCCAAGACTTTACCTGTGGATGTTGGAATAAATGCTTATTGAAACACTCTAGAATAATTAGATGTTAGAGCATGCGATAACACCAAAAAGTTACTTCATCTAACATTTAGCAAAAGGAATTTTTTATCTTGGCTAAAATGTAGTATTTATCTAGTTTTAAAAGATATTGAGAGGTTCAGGACCAAAACCGCCTTCCAAAAGAGTTTGGTCTGAAAACAGATCTCAATAGAGTTTACTTTTATTGCAAGAAGATTTACCGTGCACAAAAACCCCTGTTTAATTGCCATCCTCTTCTTTGAGCAGAAGCCAGAGTACTAGGCAAAGGGCTGGCAGAATACTTGAAGGTTATAAAGCAGAAACTTGTAAAGTAAAAGTATAAACTCATTTTTGTTTCTTGATGCAATTTGGAATCAAAGAAGGTTTGTTAGTGTATGGTTAGTCATTATTATCTTCTGCAAGACATTCAGTCATACAGCTGTTTGGAAACTTTAATATCTGTTACTACAGTTCCAAGCTCTGTTCTCCAATGATGTTTTTTTTCTTTTTTTTTTTTTTTCCTTTTTCCCCCCGCTTTTTTTTTCTTCCTTTTGTCCTTCCCTGTTGGGCCAACTGCCAAAACTCAGGATTTCTGAAGATCAATTAGAAAGCTTTTGCTTCTATGCTCACTTCGTCTGCGTGCAGTCCTTCACATACTGTTCTTTACGTAGCTTCAGCAGAAAGACCTTTAGCTAGCAGTTAAATAGTGTATGATATTCAGTGCCTAAGGTAACAGTACAAGTTTGAATTCAAAATAGTAACTGAAGAAAAAAGGAATAGGTTAAATTACATTATTTAAAAAAAAAAAATACAATCCTCTATACATTTATCTTGAATTGTGTGAACTGGAATTCTTTTACATGCCTTTTCAAGTGTGTGAGGTAAGTATGTGTCAGAGGAAGGAATATTCCAAACAAGATTTAAAATTTCTCCTACATGTTTCTACTTTGTTACTTTACATCCGTATAATACTTATATGTTTGTATTTGTTACATTTGCTGATTTAGGTAATAAGAACCTGTGTAAATTAGCAGATTGGTAGTTAGAAGTTGAATTTATCATGTTGTGATAGTTGACAGGTCATGTGTGTATGTTATATGTGCACGCATGTGTGTATATTAGAGGCATGTGCACTTCTATCTATATTTATTTCTTATTATTACCTGGAGAATCATGTCAAGATTTCAAACAGGTAGCTGCATCAAAGCATAGAAGCTACTCAAAATGGAAAATCCACAGAAGGTTAGATGTGTCTCAGAGATTTAACCCAGAAAAGCCACAAACCGTACCAATTAGGAAAACAATCTTAAGAGATTGATACAGCAAGCCTGTATGAAATTTTCTTTGCTCACTACTTGAAAAGGTGATGATGAAAACAAACCCTGTATGCTTCAAAAGCATTTCTTGTGGTACTTGAGGCATAATGGTTTGGAAGAACAGACTACTTGTTAGGTAGGTTGAAAATTGGGTGGGCTGCCAGGCTTGAAGGTTCTAGTTGATGGCAGGCAGTGAGTGGAGGATGAGGAAACTGGGCTTGTTTGGTCTGGGGAAGAGAAGGCTATGGGGCAGTCTAATAGCAGGCCCCCAATTGCCTGAAGAGCAGTTGCAAGGGTGACCAAGTTAAACTGTTCCTGGTAGCGGCACAGAGTGTAAAAACAAAACAAGCCCTGAAACCCCCATGGCTAAAAATTGCAGCTTGAGAGGTTCAGACTGGACATTAGGCAAAACATGTTACCTAGGGAAATAGCACAGCACTGGAACAGGTTATCCCAAGGCCCTGTGGAGTTTCCATCCGCGGGGGTTTTTGAGTATCGGCTAGAAAATGGCAACTCTCAAACAGGTGACCTGCTGTGGTGTGAGCAGGAATAGTAACCCAAGCAGGAGCTGGGACTAGAGGTCTCCAGAGGTCACTTCAAAGCAGCACTTGTATGATTTTGAGTGGCTTTGCCCTGGTATCTTTACATATGAACGATATCAGAGTTATTTGTCTTCAATTTTCTGCCAATAACAGACCATTTTCCAGCTTTTCCTTTGTTCACAGCAAAAGAGTTAAATTTCATTTTGACTGTTACATTCAGATAATAGCTAAGAAGTGCCTGGAGGCAACTGAACCAGAGACAAATGACAGAAAGAGGTACCCCTGTATGCCTTGAGTTACTACTTTCAAAAAGCAGTAAGCCTACTTTCAAAAGTCTGGTGAAAGAGGAAGAAATGGCATGTTATGTCACATTTCAAAGAATTTATTCTACAAAGTCTTGGTTTCTGTACATATGTGGAGTGTTGTAAAAATTATATGGGAATGTTGTCAGGAAATCCTTTTGATTAATTAAAAAAACCTGCTTCCCTCTGGTAATGAACAAGTAGTTACTGTCATCTTTTTGTTTCTGAGTTTTAAAGCAGAGGACTTGCAACATTACTGTATATCTGAAAAAGCTCTAATATTAATTGGTAAATATATAGAGTTAAAACTTTTCTTATGTTTGCTTTTTTTTTTGTTTAAAGCAGTGATAGCCGCAAGTGAACTAATGCTGTTTCTGAAGGCCTAAAAGTTGATTTTCATAATTAAGGGCTATTGAATGAAATACACCAAACAATATATTAACAGTGTGTGATTAGCAGTACTCTTATCTCTTCCTGTTGTAAAATTAGTGTAGGTTTAGCAAAAAGCTTTAAAAATCAATTTTACCAGTACTGTGTGATCTCTTAAGTGAATCAGCCCTCAAGGGGATCTGTGCCCAGGCCGTTACTCCACCCGTGGTGCTCCTCTCTTCTTTTGCAGCTCCTTCTCTGTCTCCTGAACTGTATGTGATTTGTCTGAGTTTTACCTGTGACCCTCGCTAAAATGTAGTGATTACGACGTACTAAGAAAGAGGTATTTGCTATATTTAAAAAGTGTCAGTGCTGATCTTTGTGAAATGTGCTGTGCCCATGGGGGAAGAGACCTACTTTGAAGTAGGCAGGAATGAGCTTGTCTAGTCGGTGGGTTTAATTTCAGTTTACAGTGGCATCTGCTGATCTGTTTGGTGATACTGTGGTTTTTCATCTGCGTCACCATGTCGGTGGAAGGGTTAGGCACCTCTGTGCTTTCAGAATGCCTGGAATCTTGTAATTTTCAGGGGCAGACTTTCTACATTGATAGATATATAAATCTGGTGATAGCATCTTGTACCACATCAAAGACGACTGCGGCGACTCTTTCTTCAACTTCAGGCTCTGTTAAGTGTGTGCTGTCCTTTCCTAATAAGCGTAACTGTGTCATATCCCAAGGTCAGCTTAGGGATTTTTCCCATCTGGTGTGCCCCGTTTCCAGGACTTTCTCCTGCAGGTGATCTCAGTTGCCCATCTTCTGATGAAGCTTTTTACTGAAGATGCAAATACATTGTTTTGGTCCTTGTCTGTCCCCATTTCCTTTGCACGGTATCGTTGCCCCCTGGCTGAGATGGTGCCTTGCCCACCTCAGTCCTTGCCTAAACTGATTCTTCAGGGTTGTTCAATGCTGTCTCTACAGTAATAATCTTTATTTTCTTCTTTTTGGGGGGGGAGGGAGGGTGGGGAGGATGGCTGTTAATAGAAAGGCAGGCAGACCACAGCAGCAATGTATATAGCTTTGGAGTTATACAGCTGACTGCTGTAAATCTGACTGAACTTTTTAAGTGTAACTTGGACTGATCTATCCCTAAAATAAAGCCAGGAATTGCAAAGTTGTTCCAGAAAGAATAGAGACTACAGTCTCGTTTTAGCCACACTCAGGTAGCTGTGCTCTTCACACAATTTCCTCAAAAGAAATGTTCAGAACATGCATGAGCTCAGTAGGAAAAGGCTAGCTTTTTGTGGTACAATGGTACAATTTATGTAGAATGGATAAAAAGGAATATTGCGGCTTATCTGAAGACAAATAACAAGCTTCATTCTCCAGTGACAGCAATTACTTGCCTTTGTAGTCATACAAAATAATTCTTTTGTAAGAGAAGAAATTCCACTGTGCGAGAGCAAATATTTGAAATGGAGCAAGTGTTGTGTGTGGGAATTTGATACATTCATGGAACACTGTTGTGTGCTAAAGTAAATAGATATTTTTCCTTTACAAATGGAGGAGCTGAAGATACCGGAGATGCCACAACTCCTGTTCACTAAATTGCCATATGCCTTTTCTTTCCTTTGCCTCTTTTTATTGACTTCTTATTTGATACGCCTGGACTTTTTACAGTCCTTACTTGCTGTTGTTATCATTGTCCTGATGATACAAAACAAAACACTTTCTTAATGTGTTGTGAAATATAACATGGTTTGTAATCCTGTGTGTGCTTTTAAAGACAAAACGAACCGCTGAGTATAGTGTCATCAGACACCACACGTTGACGTGTTTGTCTGAAATGGTGGTCCTTTGCATACTTTGGAAATAGCACTCTGGTGTACTAATCTCTGGGAAAGTCATTTTTATTATTGTTGGCTCCCATGTTTAGCGTGCAGCTCTCAGCTGACATACTATACATTACAGAAAAATGCTTGTGACTCAGCTAACAAAAGCCCAATGAAGTGTCTAAATTAAGTATCTGTTTCTTGTGCCTCTTTTTGTGCTTTTTTACTTATTACTGCATGCTGTCCTGTCTTATTTGTACGCAAGACAGTCAGTCCTCTGCAAGAGAAGACTACACTCCATCAGTTTTATATAAACAGCAATTCCACTTAAAAGAAAATTTAGCATTTTCATACCACAAGTAGAAGGCACCAGTCCATCAGAATAGAAGGCAAAAGTCCATCAGGCTATAAATTACATTTAAGTATAGATTAATTCTTTTAAAATAGCAATGCTGTTTCTATGGCCTTCTTTTCTTGCAGTACATTCATTTAGCTGTCAGCCTTTACATGTAGCTATAATAAGGTACAACTGCAGTGTATGTTTTCATTGTAAACTGAATCATATATCTTGCATAGCTTCAAATGAATGTTCATCATAATGCTGGGTATAAAACAATCAGAAAAATAAGATAAAGTATCTAACTGCATGTCGTGGTCTAACCCCAGCCGGCAACTAAGCACCACACAGCCACTCGCTCACTCCCCGCCCCGTGGGATGGGGGAGAGAATCAGAAGGGTAAAAGTGAGAAAACTCCTGGGTTGAGATAGACAGTTTAATAAGCAAAGCAAAAGCTGCGCACGCAAACAAAGCAAAACAAGGAATTAATTCACTGCTTCCCATCGGCAGGCAGGTGTTCAGCCATCTCCAGGAAAGCAGGGCTCCATCACGCGTAACGGTTACTTGGAAAGCCAAATGCCATCACTCTGAACATCCCCCCCTTCTTCCTTCTTCCCCCAGCTTTACATGCTGAGCATGACGTCATACGGTGTGGAATACCCCTTTGGTCAGTTGGGGTCAGCTGTCCCGGCTGTGTCCCCTCCCAGCTTCTTGTGCCCCCCCAGCCTACTCGCTGGTGGGGTGGGGTGAGAAGCAGAAAAGGCCTTGACTCTGTGTAAGCCCTGCTCAGCACTAACGAAAACATCCCTGTGTTATCAGCAGTTTCCAGCAGAAATCCAAACCATAGCCCCATACCAGCTACTGTGAAGAAAATTAACTCTACCCCAGCCAAAACCAGCACACTGCAAGAGACAATGAATAGCTGAAAATAAAATAATATTAATAACTCTCTAGTACAAAACTACAGGCTTATTTTGTTACTAAAGTTATTAATAGGTAACTCTGAGAATTCCTATGATTTACTGACTGAAATGTCAAAACTGACTGTATACAGGTTTTTAGAAAAGCCAAAGATAGTGAAAGTCGAGTGCTATAGCATAAGGAGGGTGTTTTCATTTGATGGAATTAAATTTTGTAGTTTAGAGATCCCATAATTGTATGTCACTGTTAAAATATATCCAGATTAGGTCAGCGTCTGTTTTTGCAGCTAAATACCCCACATGAGCTGATTCCAGCTGCTGAACGTGAATTCCTGTGAATATTGGGCACTTGAGAATGAGGTTTCTTGAGTTACTGTGAAGAGAGTTGTTGGGGCCCTGAAAGGCACAGCTGCTGCTCACCAAAGGCATCCTTTCCTTTTGGTAACTCCTCGCAGTTATGAGTCCATAACCTGAAGAGGTCTTTTCAGTAGTTTCAGTGTTACTGTGTGCTTTAAAAATCACATGCGGTTGGCTTATTTCTTTTGAATTCATTTGCTGCCGCACTGTAAAACATTCATTTAATTTTATATGTGTTTAGTCTAACAATTATGTGAAGAATTTTGAGCAATGCCCTCAACTGAGGCTTGTCAGTAAATGCCTCATTTCTTACACTTGGTGACTTTCCCAAGTTTCCCAAGCATGTCCCAGTTTCATTCCTGTATCGGGATAACTTTGTTCTGATACAGCCCTCAGGAAGGAGGCAGGCATCAAAATCCTTATCACTGGACTCAATAAATGTAGGACAGTCTCCTTTAACAAGAAACAAATTTAAACCATCCCTTCTGTGGTAGGTGTGAGCGGACCTCTCCTGTACCCTCGCGTGATTTCTGTGCACTCTCCAGTAATCAAGAACTGAAACCATCAGCAGGCTGCATGATGTAGTCCCTTGGGCTGCTGGGCTTCTGTGAGGAGTCCAGTCTTGCATTCAAGTGTTTGCAGTCACATTTCTCTTATCTCCACTTGAACTTCTGTTCTGCTTTCCGAACAGCAGTTGAGGCTTGGGTTTGAATAACTTTTTGCCAGCAAAGTAATACTTACCACTTTGGGGTGGTTGTTACTATCTAGATTTTCCAAGCAGAAATTCCTTGCAAGATGAAGAAAAGCAAACAAAACAAAAGTGTCTTTATCTGTGCATACTATACAAACACTTTAGGAAAAGGAGGAGAAATGAGTATTGATGCATCTGTTTTCTCTCTTTACTATAGGCGTGCAGGATCCTCAGCATGAGAAGATAATTACTGTGACTACTAATGGAAGTATTCACAGCCCCAAGTTTCCACACACATACCCACGCAATACTGTACTAGTGTGGAGATTAGTAGCAGTAGACGAAAATGTATGGATACAGCTTACTTTTGATGAAAGATTTGGGCTTGAGGACCCAGAAGATGACATTTGCAAGTAAGTTACTTTTCCTTTAACTTACAAAAATTTGAAGGCAGGTGTGGGGGATGGAACAAAAGTGTTGCTCAAGTTTTGCAAAGATGTAACACCTGCATGTCAATATATTTATAAAATGCATCTTTTAAAGTATTAGTTTATGATTTTCTCTTGCAGTGCTAGGGAAGGTTTTCACACTTGAAAGCTTTGGGGTCCCCCTATTTTCCTTCTACATTCAGTATCTGGGCCACAGATACATGATACAAAAATGTGAAATATTTAATGTCTCTCTCAAATAAAAGTTGTGACATCTGGGAAAATATTTTTGACAGAATGCTAGAGGAATGAATGTCTAATTTTTACAGAGAAAATTTGGGTAAGCAAGTTTCCTGAAGTGAAATTCAGGTCACGACACAAAGTACAACATCCCTCTTCAAAAAAAACAAACAACAAAAACCCAACAAACAAAAAAAACCCCACCAAAACCAACCACAAACACCCTACTGCACAATATTTTAATGGCCTTTAATGGTCAAGTTCTCAGTTTTCTATGAAAAACAGCACTTACAGTATTGCATTAATTGACATTCCTCAATGGTATTGTTTTTTTCCCAACTTCAGTAACTATTTTGCCTGCTCAATCACTGGCACAGGTTTCTGTAGGACCTGTGGAATATGTATTACCTTGCTATGATTTGCAGCCAAAGTCTCTGCAGCTTGGGAGAGACACAACCGTGACATAACAGGCATCAGGACAGATGTAGTTCTGAACTAAGCCATCTGATTGATCATGTTTTGGATATTTTGTGAGGCAGTAGGGGCTGACATTATATGTGTTTCCTGTGGGTGGGTGAAAGGGGAGAGTTCCTAAACTCTTGTATCCTGTATCTGTCTGTCATCATAGCAACACATCGTAAAAAAACCCAATGTGTGAATAGTGGTACGTTGTCTGAACCCTTTTCAGTAAATTAGGTAACAGATAAAATATGTCATTTGAATGGCATATCCTCCTTTGATGTCTTCCTGGAGAGGTACTTCACACAAGATTTTTCTTTCAAAGTAGTTTTTTGTTTTGTTTTTCCTGTTTGGGGTTTTATTTTTGAGTACCTTGTATACACATTTGATTTGATTCTTGCTTTCAGTTTTTCTAATTAACTGATATTTGTTTGGTTTTATATCTTGAATCAACTTTTGATTACAAATTTGAATTTCTTAAAGGTTACTTTTGCACTTATCCTTAATTTGGGAGCTGAGGTTCGTAACAGATGGACAGATATCTTTCTTTCGTAATTCCGAAGGGAGTAATCATCAAGGCCATGTCAAATATAATTAAAATACTAAGTACTATAAACATATGTTTGCTCAGATGAGTGCACTCCCTTTGCACAATAATTATTTTCTTTAAATGAAAACTTAGCTTGCTTTTTCTTTTCTTTGCATATGGCAGAGTGAAGTGGCAAGTGAAAGAAAATCCAGGTAGGGCGACTCATTCGTCCACTTGCAAAGAAAAAAGTAAGATAAGTTAAAATATTTTTAATATTATAACTAGAATAGTATTTTAATGGGAGTACATTTATTTTAAGTAAACAGTGTGCTGAATACAAAAGTACTGGTCAAATGAAGAAACAGTAATAAGTCACTGATAATCTTCACTCGGTCGTAATCTTATCATGCTCGTATTTGTGCAGGGCTACCAGGAAGTTGTATGAACGCAATTCCTGATATGTGCACTTCTGAGGACACGTTGGGCTTTTTGGCTTGGAAGATATGACCCTCTGAAAAAGAGAGTTACATTGTTGTTTTTAACAAAAAGAAAAAACATAGCTAGGGTTCCTATGAAATTTAAATTGAGTAACAAACTCAGTAAAGACAGAGGAAGTGTACCTTGTTTTATGTGAAGGGAGTATAAATAATTGACAAGTTGAGGAAATAGCTAAAACACAGAGAGTTTAACTATGTAAAACAATTCTACACAGGCCAAGTAAGTTACCAATTATCAGAGTAATATCCCTTTATGAGTAATGTCTTGCATTTCTTATCTCTTATAGTTCCTAATAAAATTATTTAATCTTTTTTCAGTACCTTCTGTAGAAAAGCTAAGGGTTTTTATTGACTGCATCCCATACTATTTATTACTCCACTGTGTTTCTGCATCTTGAAACACACAAATCAGTATTGTTGCTGTAGAGTGCTCAACAGTTTCTCCAAAGGCAAGTTTATATGACAAAGGACAGAATAAAATATGACATGAAATTTAATGTATTGTAACTCTACACCTTACAGTGACCTGATCCTTACAGTGATCTGACCTCTGACTGAAACTAGGTAAAAACTGTAGCCTGGTAATGTTAGACTTTCTATGCAACAGTGTACAGTTTGTACCAGGATGTCTTTCTCCCCCTTCTATAGTGTATGAGAGGACCTCACGAGTTACTCGCGGTGGTCATTGTCACAGTTTTCAGTTCCTCTACCTGCTTCTTAAGCTGCATATTCTGTGTAATGCCAGAGCTTTCTCCATCATCGCTGCAGGATGTTACGCCCTGTAGTGTCAGCTCACTGGGCTGATGAGAGAATATGCTGGATTATATTAGTTTAAGGTAATTAGCAGCTTTTAAATCTCATAGTAATTCAAATATTGCTCACACATAGGAAAAAAATAAAACCATATCCAGCTATATAAGACTTTTTTGCTTAACATAGTTCTATAACAGGAAAACAACGGTAGTGCTGAATAAGAAATGTCCTAGATGTATCCTGAAGCTATGGCAAGTTTTTGCCTGTATCTGGCTGACCTGACCTCTACACTTGGATTTCTCCAAAGTCAGTTCTGACATTTCAAGTTATTCTGACTTTTCATCTAGAACAAATATCACATTTTACAGATACATTGAAGGTACCAGTCTAGTCTCCACTTTACTTTCCTGAATCTGAATCAGAGTGATCCTGCATGGTTTGGTTTTTTTTTCCCACTCTGTTTTTACTTGCAATTCAACTTACAGTATTTACTAAGGTAGAACATTTGCATTACAGCAAATTCTATGTTTATGACCAGCCATCCTGATCCAGCCTCACCTGGAACAGCATTAACATGCGTAGTCCTAATTGCTGTGCTAATTCTCACCAGTCTTAAGCATGATTGCTGTGTTCTGTATGTTTTGGAAACAAAGTTTAAATTATAGGGTTTTTAGAATAAATTTCTGATATTTTGCCTGTATTTCTCCAGGTGATTTTTGTCCTGGTTTTACAATTGTGATGTACTTGAAATTTCTGCAGTTCATCTGTGCATTGCTTAAAATACAGCTTTTTTTTTTTTTTTTTTTTAAACAATAGTTCTACTTCATCTGCACTGCATCCTTTCTATGGACAAAATGTTAAGAATCCCACCATGTCCTTTCCAAAGTGAACACAAACTCCAGTTTACATGGAAACTAGATTTATGCATGTATCTCAGAAGAGATTTAGGTTATTTGGTTGGTAATATGGATATATAATTCCCTGCAATATTGCAGGAATTTCAGCCTTATATACTTTGTTTGATTTCAGTTGTGACTTGCAAAAGAAAAAGGTTATGAACAAAAAAATCCCCCAGCAAACCAAACAAACAAAAAAGGAGAAGGATGCAATCTCCTGGCTGTTTTGTGCAGTACTGTTCAGATGACAGAACTGCCAGTGAATTTTCCTTACATAAGGGAATTTCTAGCTAACAGAGGCATAGTGGATTTACATTCTGTATGTCCACCCTTTCTGATGATGCTTTTCTTCTGCTGATATGATAGCTGATATGAAAGGTCATTATTTTCTTGATGCTAGCCCCTCAACGCTGTTCTAACCATGAGGCCATTAGACTTCTGTGCCTTGATAGCTCCTATCATCATGGAGATGCCATACCTCCTTGTCCAGGAGGGACTGATTTTTGCTCAATTTTTGCTTGTTGTCCAAAATTGTTGCTTTCTGTCTCTGAGAACATGCAGTGATAAAAGCTTTGGGATAAACTCCTCTGTGACAGGAAGACACAGATTTAGCTTTCTTCCAGGAAGAACATGGATGCTACAGTTGCCTTTAACAGGCAGTCTGATGTTGTGAGTAGGTTGTACACTGGAGCATTACAACACAAGGATGCAATAGGAAAAGAAAAAAAAAATATCTTTCTTATGTTAATTATGTGTGACTTGCTCTCTCCCTGTGCACAGAATGGCTCTAGTTGTTCATCTTAGTGGTGGTTGCAGCTGTTCTTTCTAATCATCAGATGATTACAGTCTGTTTGACTTTTATTATATATAATAAAACACAGAAATGTGTCACAAACCCAAAGAGCAATTACTGTAGATAAGATGATAAGGATAAAATACATGAGTAAAAGAATGTGGAACCAGCCGATAGTTGAATAATAGATGGCATTTGACCATCATCTTCATTTTAGGATAGTTATACTCATTTCCAACTTTCTTCAGCCCTCTAATAATTTAAAGTATGAACTATAGTCTGTTTTGTGTGTGGATTTTTTTGCGGGCCGGGAGTCTTTTAGCAGCTGCATATGTGAATCTGTTCATATAGTTATATAAGTGAAGCATTTACCTATAATGTTTTGAAAGAATTCCCAAAGCTTGTCTAGTTAATATGTGCGATATGTAGAACTTTGGCCTGAAGAAAATTAGTTAAGCTATAGGCAGCTGTCAGTGCTAACATGGGGTAAAATCTATGTGAGTAGTACTGTGATTTTTTTTTTTTTCCCTCTTCACATCAAATTAAATACTTAACTCTTAGTACTGGGAATGTTCTTCCTCTGAAGGTTCTTAGGATGATGCTTTAAGATACAGAATCACATGCATTAAATTCGCTACCTGCCTTTTCCCTGACGTTTCTGTAAGCTACTTCACTTCAGATCTGTTGTGACTGAACTGTGCCCAAGCTATTCCCTTCCATTCAGAGAACATCAAGGTTCTGTGGTAGAAACTGTAATCCAACCAGCTTCAACAGTCATATGTGTTCCTAATGAATGTATTGTTAAGAAATTGTTGACA